AGGAGCATCTGTTTCGAAAGCTGGGTCAGCAAGTCGGGGGCAAGGTGTACCGTCTAGAGACGATGCGTCGCGATCTGCAGCTGCGTGTGCTTCACGGAAACCAGCTAAACTTTTTGTCGCATGTGCAAGCCATTGTGGACACGCAGCGGATGATGCGTCAGGCGAATGGGGAGCGTGTGCACATGATGGTCTTTTGTGACACCGTGAACGAGGTGAAGCTGCTGTGTGACCAGCTGCACGCATACGGCTACATGGCCTTGCCCTACTACACCGACCTGGAGGAGAAGGTGCAAAAGGACCATGTGGCACGCGACGTCATTGTGGCCACCAGCTGCCTCAGCACGGGTGTGGATCTGCTCACCATTCGCCACGTGCTGTGGTATGGCAACGGCTACAACGTCTATACGCTGGCCCAGGTACGCTGTTGCTCAAGCGGTCGTGTGACTTTATGGATTTGGAGTTGAAAAAAAAAAAATCAATTGTTGGTTTTGCTGATGGTGTACATGTGCTTGGGCTAGGCATTTGGTCGGGCTGGTCGCGATAAACAGGGAGGAACTGCCGAGCTGTGGCTACCAGTGAGACGTGGGCCAGCACCAGGCATGGAAAAGTTTGTCGAGGGCAATGCGTGCCGCAGCTGGGCGCTCGGCAAGTTGCTAGATCCCCGCGCCGCGACATGCTTTGCTGCCGGCCAGCCGCTTTGTGACGTGTGCGCAGGAACAGCACAGCGCCTGGAGCCAGCAAGAGCTGCACGCCAGCAGCGCGCTGCCCAAGCGTTAAGTGTGGTGCATGTGGAAGCAGAGGCCGAGGCGATGGCGGAGGAGGAAGATGTGTTGTCTGAGCCACCTGCAGCACGGCTCGAGGAAAAAGAATCGATCGGGCCAGAGTCCACTTTGGATGTAGCTTCAGCATCAAACGTCGAAACGGCAGCGTCTTCAGGACGAGCTGCCGTTGCGGCGCAGTCGAGCAGAAGCACTCCACGTGCCCAGGACACGGCTGTGGTGGCGACAAATGCAGGGCCAATGACGGATGCTGCCGTGCCACAGATACAGACGAGTGCTGCTTGGATTGATGAGGCAGATACAGCATCCATGTCGGTGCCAGCTTCCCCCATGGTCTCTGATGCTGATGATGAGGCGCCTTTACAGCAAGAGGCGCGAGGCTCGGTGCAAACAACGTTGGCAGAGGGCGAGAGCACGTCACAGCCAGTCGTGCAGTCAGCAGCACAGCCAACCCCCACGAAACACGCGCCAACCCCGTCGGCCTCGATCATTTGCGTGCCAGTACCATCGGCCTCGGGTTCAACCTCCTCTCCGGCGCGATCGGCTGCAAGCTCAGCCTCGGGTACACTGCGGCGTAAGCGAGTGCCGCTGGCTGCTGAAAGTACATGTACCCCTGGGTCTGACAATCATGACGATGGCGACGGCATCGCTACCAGCCCTGCTGCCTCAACATCCAAGCGAACGGCATCGGATGTCACGTGCACAGCTGTTGCTTCTTCAACAGCGGCGCAAGCAGCGGAGTCGCCTCTTCCCGCAGCAAAACGAGCAGCATCGAGTGGCACGCGCACCGCTACCTTTGCCGCTACTGCTATCACTCGCTCTGAAGCCCCGGTATCTGCTGCGGCTACGCCACCGAATCGGCACAACGTCGCCCCAATATTTCGGTCGAAATCGGGGACAAAAAAAAAAT